TCACCCATTATTATTATTATTATTATTTTAATTTATTTATTATTTACCCATTATTATTATTAACACGTCTTGGTTGCATGTTTGATTAATTTCAAAAAGAGCTGGTAAGAATCTTCTATTTCCTCCTTTTTGGCTCTGGTGTTTGATGCATGTATTTGAATGACAGAGGCGTCAACAGGTCTTCCTTGTCTGCGTGTGGATATTACCCTGTCACTCACATCATTGTGTTTTAAGATGGATTTAGAGTGCTGAAGAGCCATGATCTCAGACTCGAGACTAAGGTGTGCCTGATCCAGGCCGTGATCTTCTTAATTGCTTGTTATGCATCGGACAGCTGGACTAAAGATGACAAAAGAAGATGCCTTTGAGTGGTGTTGGAGAAGAGTCTTGAACATACTATGGACTACCTAAAAAACAAATAGGTCCATCCTGGAGAGGGTGAAACCAAGCTGGAGGCAAGGATTCTGAAGCGCCATCTCACATATTTTGGGCATGTTGCCAGCAGGGGTGAGTCCTTGGAGAAGGACATCAAGCTTGGAAGGATGAAGGGTCAATGCGGGAGAAAAAGACCGTGGATGAGATGGATTGTCAGAGTAACCGGGGTAACGGGGGTAGGTGTGTCTGAGACAGTGCGATTGGCTCAGGACAGGGCAGGGTTCAGAGCTGTTGTGTACAGGGTCCCTATGAGTCCCAGGTGGTTTGATATAACAGAAGAACAACAATAACAACATATATGATTTAGTATAATAACCAACATATGTTTAAATATTATTTTAAGGATATTCTTTTTAATATTATAAAGACTATTAGTATAATAGAATGTAAATATATAGACATTCATTTGTATTGCAGTACCATTTCTATTATTATACACTATATTATTACAAATGTTACAACTAAGTACTGTTAACAGTACAACGGTAGCAGCCGGTCCGGCAACCTCTCTAGTACTATCATAATAAAAATAAGGTTGCAGCTGAGGCTTGCTGAGGCTCGTGGGGCTAGTTTTGGTGTAAATATTAGCTTGTGCTGTGTTCGTCTCATTCATTCACTCAACTACTGATAATTGATTGGCTCTGGCTGTGCCACTTAAGTGCCACGTGAGATGTCCATGTTACTTGGGGCAGCACAAGATTTAGAAATTTGATGACTCCTGTGTCTTGACTATTCACTATGAGTCGGACAGCATTTCTGTGTGCCTTACTAGTTGTTGTTGTTGTTGTTAGGTGCCATCAAGTCGAGTATGACTCATAGCGACCCTATGAACAGCAAATCTGAATCTTGTTCTATCCTGTGCCATCCTCACACTTCTTGACACACTAGAGCCCATTGCGGCAGTCACCATGTCAACCCACCTGGTCGAGGGTCTTCATCTCCTTCGCTGACGCTTGACCCTTCGCAGCATCATGTCCTTCTCCAAGGAATAGCCCCTCCTAACATCCCTGAAGTATGTAAGGTGAAGCCTCATCATTCTTGCCTCCAAAGAGCACTCTGGCTACACCATCTCCAAGACACATCTGTTTATTCTCTTGGCCGTCCATGGGATGTTCAGTGCTCTTCTCCAACACCATAGCTTAAAGGTGTCAATTCTTCTGTCATCCTTATTCATTGTCCAGCTCGCAGATGCATAGCACCTCTTACTCACAGTCTCTTATTTTACTTACTTACACTTTTTGTTTGAGAATCTTGGCAACGTTCTGGACCCTTTGCCATGAGTGTACTGGGACTCCTACGACCCCATGGGGCAGAGCAGAAGCGTCTTGCAGAGTTTCCAAGGCTGTCGTCTCTACCGAAGCAGACATTGTCCTCTTTCTCCTGTGAAGGCTCTGGTGGGTTCAGATCCCCTGACCTTTTGATTGGCAGCCACGTGCTTTAACACGGCACCACCAGAAATGTAGGGATGTTATTATCTCCATTTGATGGCTACTTCTGCTCTTGAGGAGGAGCTGTAGTGGCACAGGGGTTAAGCACTCAGTTACTAGCTACAAGGTCGGTGGTTCAGACCCATCAGCCATCCTGTGGGAGAAAGATGTCTGCTTTCCTATGAAGTTACAGACTGAGAAACCCTATGGGACAGGGTCACTGAGAGTTGGAGGCTTTGGGGGTTTCTTAAATGCTCTTTTTTTTTGTTTTTTTGTTGTCAGTTCTGAGGAGCTAGCTCCAGGTCTGGTGACCCTCTCTTTGGACAATAGAATGAAGGGATGCTAGTCCTGACCCTCCCCGAGATCACTGGCTATTTGAACCCACTGTGGTGCACTTTCAGGACCAGCCAATGAGAGAGAGAGAGACAGGACTTACTTGCCAGGGTCAGACAAAGCTCTGCTGTGACCACTGAATTTTTTTTTTTTAATTTAGGTTGTTTATTTTTCATTTCAATGAACATCTACAGAGATTTTGGGATTCCATTCATTCATTGTTGC